GGATCCATCAGTGTGTGTGTGTGTGCGTGCGTGCGTGAGACGGTGTGTGGGTGGGTTGCACGCAGTTCGGCTGCATCTGCCTTGTCCCTTTTTAGTCCTGTGCCCGCCCCGACACTCAGTCACTGGAGGCCCACGAGTTCTCCAGCTCAGCTTCGGGACACCATCGCGGAAGCAGGCCGCGGCATGTTCTGCGCACACGCCGCCGTGGTGTTACAGTATACACAGCCTACTACATGCAACCTCCCGTTTTGCAGCTAAGACTGGTGGTTTGCTTCGCATGATTCGTTCTTCGACTTGTGCTGTAGGAGGCCCTAAAATGAGCGATGCGAATCGCGTCCAGCACGAGCTGGCCAAAGCCCAGGCTGCTTTCTCCCTGGTGCCCGGGCGCCAAGGAAGGGTCGCCGCATGGCAGACATACCTGGCAATGGTGGCGGAAAGGGTGAACTCCTCCTCCAATGACAAAAGCACAGTCGCCAACACGATCCAGGAGTTCATACCGAGCTCGACGACGTCGCCGTCTGGCGAGCGCCAATATCAGTTGGTGGCATGGCGGAGCCACCCTTGTGGTCCGGTGGAGCTGGGCTTAGTGGAGAGCGTTTTCCGCTGGAGTAAGAAGCATCGTCGCTGTGGGTGCAAGTTGTCCACGGAAGCAGTGCCGCCAGACCTCTGCGCCGCCATTCAGCTCCGGCGCCTGGAGCCGCTCTCGGACAGCAGCTTCCGCACGACGGCGAGGCACACCCCAATAGCTCAAACAAGCCCGCAATCCGTCTCCTAGAAGCCAGACAGAGCCCTGCTTTTAACTTAACTGCATAACCGGCCGGATTGTACCTTCTCCAGTCAGGAGGTACAATTCGGCCGACCCGGCCCCAGGGTACCAGTTGGGGGTACGTGAATACTCTGCATTATTTCCTAGACAGACGCCCTGAACCCCATCTGGCAAGGCACCCTTGCTTCTTTCTCGAGTCCAGCCCGCAGAAAGATGGCCCGATGATCCTGTTCCAGCTCGCGCCGCAGACGGTGAAATTCAAAGAGAATCAGTTGGGCTTGGTGGCTCTCCTGGACAAGAATGCGGCTAAGCAGCTGCAGGCTGCCGAAGGGGCTGATTTCGAGTTGCCCTCGGAGAAAGGTGCGAAGTCCATGGTGTTCTGTGCCGACTCCTTCTATCCCAACCAGCAGGGAAAGGCCAGCATCAAGTCGTACATGGGCATCCTGAGGTCCATGTACGAGCGGAACTGCGGAAAGGATCTTGTGAACCAAGACGACTCCATCATTCCGCTGCTGCCCAAGCTGCCCCTGCTTCGCATTCAGACATGTGCGCTTTGGTATACTTGTTTCGTCCGGGCTTATAATTCAATGATAGTCTGCATCCCTGCGAAAAGTCTGCATCCCAGGGTGACGTGGAAGACGCTGGTCGAGAGGACACCGGGCTACTTCGAGACACTGCTGAAAGCAACAGACATCAGCGGCAAGGCTCCTGCGATGACGAATACGGCCTTCTCCCGACATGTGTGGTCGCGATTCGTTTCCGCCGCGCCGACGGCGGCCTCCCAGACCGGAAGCTTCGTGTCGCTTCTGCGTGCGGTCCTCGAGATCGCACCCGCGGCTCTGCCCGTCTAGGGTGGCAGCTAAGAGCTGCGCTGTACAGTGTACAGCCCTGCTGTACAAAGGGGAAAGGGTGCTCTGTGTGCCATGGCGTGAAACACAGACCGGATTCGAGTTTGCAGCAGTTTGCAGTCGGTCGCTAGCAGGATTTCTTCCTTCCGTTTCCTTCCGTAGTCGGCACAGAGAGCGAAAGAAAGAGAGAGAGAGAGAGAGAGAAACAGAGACTCAGAGAGAGAGAGAGAGAGAGCGAGAGCCAGAGTGAGGGCGACAGAACGAGAGACGGACAACGCGGGACAGAAAGAGAGGGAAAAAAAGAGAGGTAGAGAGAAAGAGCAAGAGGGCAGACAAGAGAAAAAAAGGCACAAAACATGGTAGCCGAAGCGATGCTGATGTGCAGAAGGGAGAGGCAGCCGAGACGCTCGGTTTGAGAAGGTTTGCGAAAACTGATCCAAAAAAAGCTTGATTTGGCACCGAAAACCCGTGTTTATGTACAACCGGGGCCCTTGCGGAACGTACATTACCAAACCCCTCCGTCGTACATTTCCCGGCTGCCCGAAATGCACGATCAGAGGTAGGGCCCCAGAACTCTAGTTAGGCCCACCCAGGGGAGGACTTTGCAATGGGTCAGGGTTTAGGGTTGTGAGGTTTCAGGGTTTAGGGGTTAGGATCGAGGGTTTTTTGAGGTTTACGGGTGCCCAGAGATGCCAGCACTTCAGGAATTCTTCCTTATGGGCTGCTTGCAACCCTAAACCCTAGCCCTAAACCCTATCCTTGAGGAATATTTCGCATTGAATAAGGCATCGGGCTGAATGCAGGCCGCGAAGATCGGGGTTCGGGG